TGGTGTATTTGGAATTCGTTCAAATCAGGATATTTTCAAATGCACTAAAAATGAACCAAATAAGAGATTTCAAAACCCTAAAAATCTTTTTTTTTTTTATTCTTCCAACTAAACACCTAAAATTTGAAAACTCCCACATTTGATTTAATCAATACTCTTAATACTTGCAACTAAATGTCCCCTACAACAAATTTGAAAAGGCTACATGGAAGAAGCTTCTTTTATAATGTTGATTGTCAATTAAAATTTTGAAAGTGAAAACAAAATTTATTTAACTTAAAAGTTTAAGTTTTAAAAAATTGAGCCAAATTCAAATTAAAATTAAGCAAATATTCCCTAGAAGTCTTAATTTTTTTTCCATTTTACTTTTACTTTAATATGAAGTGTACATAAATACATAGATATATATAATCCCAAGTAATATATGTGTTAGATTTGATTTTATCTGTGAATGATACCTAACCTTAATTACTAAAAAGTTACATTGAGGTGAAAGTTGACTAGGCTAAGTAGGTTTAAAGTATGGAGAGTGTATATGTTGTGGGTCTTATAAGTGTAAAAAGAAATCTAAAGAAAAAACTCAAAAATAGGATATCAAAAGTGCCACACAGATTTAGAAATATTCAATAGAGTCGTCCAAAATATTCAAAAGACCCCAAATACCTCTTCACTCTATATTTATAAGGTTTGTATAGATACAAAAAAAGCTATATGTGACAATCCAAAATTTTCAAAAAACTTTTTTTAAAAAATGAAAGTCTGAATTTTTATTTGAATCAGAGTGCTTTCGGCATTGTGCTTGGTAGAGCTAGACTCAAGAGTACATCGACACCTGAAATTACCATCGTGACATTAGATGCTCTATTCTATATTAATTCTGAATTCAACTTGTAGCGCATGAGGTGTTGGGTCAGAGCAATGCGGTGCTAGACATATATTTTTTATTCTAAAATCCTAAGCACTAAAAGCCACCAACTGCTTCCTTCTCCTCCATTTTGGGTGGCTTACTATGGAAGAAGAGAGGAAAAGGGGGAGGAAGAGGAGAGAGAGAGAGAGAGAGAGAGAGAGAGATATATATATATATATATATATATATATAGTATTTTATATAATTAAGTATTTTATGTTTTATTTCATATATGAAAGTTATGATTGATACAACATATATAAGATAAATGTGCCATTTATATGCAAGCAAAAAAGGTTGGTTGTTAAAACATAATGTTCTACACAGGACAAGAGGGTTGGTTGATATGCTTTCATTTAAAGATGATTTGTGGTGTTATCCCTGAATATAGCCTGTAACTTATGACTGATTATGCCAATGAGCAGAGAATGACAACTCTTAATAATTTATTGAATGCTACTTATAATAATGATGATAAAGATGATGCAATGATAATGATAATGATGAAATGATACAATGAATATAAATGAAAGAATGAAAACACCACATTAAAGCTAGATGTCCATCCTTGCTGAATCACATACTGATGCATACATACATTAATTAATAGCATTGATAGATAAATTAGTGATGTATACGCATATATAGCATTTGAATGGTTATATGCACTAATTTCATATAATAAAATAATTGATGAGATGAACTATATTGATGAAATTGATACATGTATGTTCATGATATAAAATATCGATTTATTGATCATTGATTAATTACTTTTTGACATATTTATGTTCTCACACATATTTTTTATTTATGATTTAAGCATGTTGATTCTTTTACTTTTTATTATAGATCATATTAAATCATGCTATTAATGATTGATCATTGATGATATTGAACATTATTGATTTTATTAACTGAGATTAGCATGCATATTAATTCCTTAAATATTTTATTGAAGCTTTAGTGAGTTTTGGTTTCTGTTGGGCTTTATGATATCATTATGTGGTTTTATTGATTTTAGATCAGGGAAGGGGTTAAGACTTTGTGTAGTGAGGTGGACTGAAATATTTTTGTTTCTTCTTTTGTTTTGTATTTTTGTTGTATTTTGTAGTCAAGATATATTGATAAACTTATTGATTGTTAGTGATCTTCTAGCTATTATAAATATAATTTTGGTGAATAAATATATTGAAATATTTCTTTACATATGATATTCAATTATTTTTATTGGATATATTGATTTATATTAATGGTTTATAGAAGCTCTAGTAAATGATTAAAAAGATGAGTTAGATAATTCTTATAATTTAGATCTTGGGGTGTAACAATACTGTTACAATTCTTATAACTTAGTAGTATTTTTATTTGAAGGAGGAGAAGAGAGATGGTGGATATGATAATAACAGGGACAATGTAAGTAAAAATGAATGCAAATATCACTTGGGCAGAATTCATTGCTGTTTTGTAAGATTTGTACCTCCATTAGCTCGATAACAAATACAAGAGGATTTTATGAGACTGGAGCAAGGCAATAGAATAGTGATACAAGACAAAGTTGAATGCACTATGTTGGCAAGGTATGCTCCATAGTTGATCAATACATTAGAAGATAAATGTTACATTTTTTAGAGGAATCAGGGATGAGCTGACACATCTGTTAGTTCCACTAAGGATTCAAGCATTTTTAATTTAGTAAAGAAATTAGCTAGATTAATATAAAATGATTTGGCAATTCTAGCATTTAGAGAGGATATGAGTAGGAAGAGATAATGAGATGACATGACTAGAGGGGATGGAAATGAGAGGAAGAATAGATTTTCTGATATTAGGAAAGGATCTGAGGCCTTTATTGAAAGTGAATCGGAGTATACCCAATGTGGCAGGAGGTATACTGGACAATGCTTTTTAGGACTAGATAATATTTTAGATATGGACAATAAGGACAATGAATTGTTGAATATCCACAACACTGACAATAAATAAGATCAAACTTTAGAGTGGAACAATCTAAGCAAGGTTATAGACAAAGGATTGTATAACCCATATATATTGAACGATTTATGAGTAAGACATATGGAAGAGGAGCTAGTGGAAGTCAAAGGGATCCTACTTATTATATTATGACATCACTAGCATCAATTTGACCTGGAGTTTACAGTCTGATTAAGCGGGATGGTAGGAATGTACTTGGAGGATTTACTGGTAGAATTATATCCAAAAATTATTTTATTTAACTTTGATTGATCTTTAGTATATATTTAATTAATATCATTACATAATATATTCAATGACGTATGATTGAATGATATGCATAAATGTATGAATGAGTTGCCGTATTAAAATTTTGATTTATCAAATGTTATGATTGATGAGTTCCTAATGACTATTTTATTTAATTTGTTAATGATTGTATCGATTTAGTTTTCAACTTTATTTTATAATTAATTTATTTTTATGAAATAATTTTTATCATGATTTATTTTTTTGTCTCATTTGTATAGCGACAACGGAAATGCCAGGGGCAACATTATTTCAAACATGGAGAGATTGTAATAGCCCATATTCAACAATCAAATAATATTTTAAAGTCATTATAAGTCTAATCTACAAACCATCTTTATCATAATATAAATATTATTATGATTTAATTATAATAACTTTCACCTAATTTTATAGGCAGTATATATATGAAAACAATAAATTTTTTATTTAATTATAATTCCTTAAAAAATTGACACATAGGTACAAATGAATTTTTTTAGGATCGTTAGGTGTTTGTTTTACAAACTAATTCCACCAGAGCATTCTAAACATACTGTGTTATTTTATGGATAATCTTTTAATATTTTTAAGAGCTTTGAATTTGAAGATATAAAAAGATTTATAAGAATTTTATGCTTAAATTAAAAAAAAAAAACATAATTACCGATGCTTCCTTAAGCTATTTTTACTATAAAAAAAATCTGTATTCACTTACAGATCTTATCAAAAGTCCATTTCCTATAAACTGAAGAAGAGAGAAGAAGAAGAAGAAGAAGAGAGAGGGAGGAGAGGAGAGAGAAAGCTAGGTTTATGAGTCTTAGAGTAGTTTTTGCCGGTTGCTCTAGTTAGAAAAATTGCTCATCTCAAAGTAGCTATTGATATTCTACCTCTGATTTTACTTGTTTTGCTTATTTTGTATTTTTTTAATTTAATTTGAGCAGAATTTACAAAAGTTGTAATATCTCAATTTTTTTGCAAATTTCTACCGTATAATTTTTAATATGTTTTATTCTTAATCATTCTACACATATTGACTTAAACATACTAAATTTTTATGGTGTAAATTGATACTTATAATTTTTTGAAGTTAATGAATAGTATATACATTCCTCAGCATTTCATAGATTATTATATTTCATACATGATATTCACTTGCTTAGAGTATTTGATATGATTGATCTATGATAAATATTATATTTGTATGTTAATATTGGTTGACTATTAAAATAATAATACTTTTTACAGGAGGGTGGACCAAAATGCTTTCCTTAGAATAAAGGTTTGTGGTATAATATTGGATGTTAGTTGTAGCTGATTGACTGATTATGCCGACATGTAAAGATTGATGACTCTTTATTGATTCATTGAAAGTCATATGTTAAAGAAGATTAATAGCAATAATTAAAAGACGTGGTTGATAGATAATGATGATTTATATGAAAGATGAAAGGATGAAAACACCACTTTAAAATTGAATGTTCTGCCTTCTTATTTATAATTATATCCATATTTATATTTACATGATAATATATATAAGATTAATAGAAATATTGAGAATGATATAATAAGATATATCATATGATAGGTATATTATTTGATATTGATTGTACAATTAATAATAATTTTAATTTTATTATTGATTAATAGATAATCTCTTTTTTAAATTACACAATATTCGATATAGGCAGACCAAATTGCCCCTCTAATAAACAATCAACATATTCAAATTGCCAACTGTTATCTGTACAGTCGCGTTGTAGTTAAAAATTTCAAGTACATGGGCAAGCAAACATCATAAAGGTTCTAGTTTTACCATCTCTGTACTTTCTAGATTCCAGATAGCGGTCGTGATTGAGAGGAGGGAGAGAGAGAGAGAGAGGGAGAGGATAGAGGGAAACACGATTGCCAAGTTCCTCTTCCTCTCTCTCTTCTGTGTTCTGCTGCTATCTTACGATTTCAGCCCCCTTTTGCACTTAGCAAATGGCGTTGGAAGCCTTCGTATCTTCAATTGATTGGGATTTGGAATCATATCCAGCCTACGAGGATTTCTTCGTCCTGCCCTTCCTCGTCCTCTTCTTCCCCTGCGTTCGGTTTTTTCTTGATAGATTCGTGTTCGAGGTTAGTGTTTCCGAAGCTCCTTTCTTTGTTTCTGATTGAGACTGAAATTTTTAGAGAAATCAACACTGTTATGGAAAAACTGCGGACTGGTTCCGTTTTTGTGAGTTTTTATTGATTTCTATTGCTGAAATGGTGGGTTTGGGCTGTTAGTGTGATTAATTTTTCTGATCTGTTATGATTGGGGATGAATGCCCTATCAAATTCGGGAGAGTGGAGTAAGATTGGAAGAGATTTATTGCTAGAAATTTGTGATTTTTAAAAAAAAATCAGTTGATTAGGAAAGGTAGCAATTTGATTAGATAGGATCTTAATTAGAAGTGAATTATAACTGCAACAATATAGGCATGGAAAAAAGCCAGGAGATAACTTGCTTTTTAGTCGGATGGTAGGGCATATGCTATTTTTTGCCATTTGGCAGCTGCAAAGATGCTTCAGTCGTGCGGGAAACTGAAATGTTCTCCTATTTTTTGGTTTTTGCGAAGAGTTTGTAACTTATCTACTTTGTTTTAATTGGCCGCTCCATCTTTAAATCCAACATAATTATTTGGGTTAACTTTTCTAACGGTATCATGTGATTGTGAAGCGAAAGTTAAAAATTACTAAACAATCTGTTTGCAATCTGAATTTAGGGTTCCAGCTTCAATGTATTTTCTGCTATATGCAAGCATGGTTTGTCCCAGTATGATAGCTGTGAGTCTTGTATGGTAGTTGCATTTTATCACAAATTTTCATCAATTACCAAAGGGAGACGTCAGGGCAGCACCATTTTTGTCTGAGTTTAAATGTATGTAATTTGCCTTCTTGTTTTTATGATCTTCTGTGTACGGAGACCTCTTCATTCACTCTTTCAGGCTACTCTTCTCCATATGTAAGCGGAATTTTAAGTGAATGTTTGGTGAAGACTTCAACAAACTGCCATTTTTTAATTGCTGCAGTGACTTTTATTTGTTATGTGGGTGTGAATGTTAAGATTTATTGAATGCATTGTTTTTCTTGCCAAATAGTCATTAAAATTACATCAACTGTTGCTTTTACAATCATTTTGAGAGTTTTTTAATGAGAGTTTTTTTGGAACCACCCAACATGGGTGGGAGTTGAACCTTGAAACCTCATCACCAAGATATATGTAATTTTGCCAGAACTTGTTTGAGTGGTATTGCCTTTGATCTCTTTAGTGGAAGTTCAAGGTTTGAACCCTTACAAAAACTCATGTGCGAATATCTAGGATTGATGGTTATTTATCATTGCTACAATTAGAAAATCCTAGTTAGGGAGGCTATGCTTTGTCGATTCATGTGTTGGGTGACACATAAGTCATTCATAACTAACTTGAGTGTGGTAGAAATGATAATGTAGATATGTGGTAGAACTAAAGATATAAATGCTTATGTTGGAGGAATTGTTTGAGTTGCACTTGTTGAAGGAAATGTAGTTGTGAATTGATGCAAGTTCTTTAGGCTTGTATAATGGTGGATAGAAGTTGCAATAGAATGAGTAGATATAATTAATATGTACAAATTATTATAGAGAACGTCTCTAGAAATTGTTCAAGAAGACTTATGCAAACATATAATTGCACAAATTATAGTAACACCTCTTGTAGTTTATTAACCGGTTGGATCGAATGGATAAAAGGTGCAAAAAAGGCATTAGATATAATTAATGTGTACAACTTTGGAAAGAGAATTTGTCTAGAAATTGTTCAAGAAGACTTGTGCAAACATAATTACACAAATTACTGTAAAATATTTTGTGTTTCTCAGTTGGATTGAATGGAGAAGGATGATTCATTAACAAGACATCAAATCTTTGGGATAGGGCTTATGAAGATGATGGTGATTTAATATTGCTGTACTTTGTAATCCAACATTTTGGCTACTAATGAATCCTTCATCTGACTGGACGGTTATACAAAGCTGATGATGTTGACATAGAATAATATTAGTTCCTTTGCATTTTTTGTGACTTTTTAAATATTAGGATGAATAAAGGGTTTCAACCCAAAGACCATTTGCTAGGTGGGCTACTGCACATCTTAGCAGCTAATGAGCCAGTGCACTAGTTCTTAATATTGGTTTCAGGAAGCTTCTCTTTATCCTTGATTTACCATGTAATAAAACTCAGGGAAGAACTCTATCTACCTATCCTTTTCATAATATCCCTACATTCCCATCGGTCCTATCAATTAGCATTATGGTTTTTGTCTAGGAATATATTTCTCAATGTTTCAAGGCCTTCAAAGGCCTCTTTGATAAGAGTAGCGAGTATGCTCTTGGCTATTATTAGAGAACACTTTGAGGAGTGGCTCGGCTAATTCTCTTCCGTTTATCCTACCATTAAAAATGGTGTTAGTTATTGCTAAGATAAAGTCAAGTACTTGTTTACATTTAGTACTAAAACATTAAACAAAGTCTGTTGTCCTTGTCATCTCTTATGTCTATCTAATGAAAGTCATCATTGGGTGAACCTAAGTTTCAATTGTGCAATTTGATAAAAATTTTAGTTCAACTTCTATTTTTGGTTTTGGCTTTAATTTATATGTTTTTTATTTGTGTAGAAAGTTGCAAACCGTTTTGTACTCGGAAGCAAGTTTGAAAAGGTTGATTCAGAAACAGAAGAGGGAAGAAAAAAGATTAGAAAATTCAAGGAGTCAGCTTGGAAATGCTTGTATTTTCTTTCAGGAGAACTGCTATCTCTTTATGTTACTTACAATGAGCCATGGTTCAAAGACACAAGATATTTTTGGGAAGGACCTGGAGATCAGATTTGGCCTGACCAAAAGATAAAGTATATTTACAAAATCTATTTGAGTTTATTTATACAAATTCTATTTTCTAGTTTTTTTTCTTATTCAGTTCGCTTCTCTTTTTTTCAGGTTAAAACTTAAGGCTTCTTATATGTTTGCTGCTGGATTTTACACATATTCAATATTTGCATTGATGTTCTGGGAAACAAAGCGATCGGACTTTGGTGTCTCTATGTCTCATCACGTTGCAACTGTTGTGCTTATAATACTGTCTTACATATTCAGGTGTGCTTACTATTAAACCTTTGCACTGCTTGCTCTTACTAATGCTCATTGCCATGCCTGTTTTTCTTAAGATTGTTTCTTCCACAATTGGATCTTGGTTGACTAATGTCCATCTAGATTTTTCTTTTTCAATTGTATTGTTCGAACTATGCAGCTGATATGTACTTTGTTGCATATGTAGAAATAATGAAGATGCTTGTTTTATGAGGAGAAAAATTCATTCTCTATGCAACAAAATTTTAAGACAATATTCGAAGTTGAGATTGAGATCAATAATGCCAGTGTACAATTGAAGTATTAAAGTTAGTTGTTTTTTATCATGATAGTGTCATTGATGATCAATGAAAATATCTAGTTATGATAGGTTTAAATCTGGGTATGATAGGTTTATGTATCTGAATGTATTATACTGGAGAATTTGGTGATACATATGAAGATAAAACTTCTAAAGATAATATAAAATGATGACGTGCTTTAAGAAGGTTGGCATATGAATATTATTTCAGGAAATTAATCTAAATATGGTTAGTGGAGTATTTTTATTTTGTCGTGCCTTGCATTAGTGCATTGATTCTCATATGACCTTTATCATTTATAGAGGGGTCCTCTATTTAATATTACACATGAAGTAATTTGTTTTCTTTAACATGTTATCAGGATAGCATTAGTCCTATTCCTAGCTGCGAATCTCCTTCCTTCATCCTCCTTAATCTTGTCTATGGTCCCTAACATGATCCCCCTTTTCTAGTTGCTAACACCCATTACCTCACTCGACCACACCCTCCTCTTATCTATAGCCTCTGTGCTTCTGCACCAGCACACCCTAATGCCCACAATATTAAGTTCCATAGTGCCCTTGTTGGATTGGTCCATTCTTATATTTGGGTCATAATCATGGTTTGTTTATTAAGGTATATTTTTGAAGTATTATTTGTATTTTTCACTATCCGTTATAACATAAAAAATAAATTTTTATTACAGTTAAAACTCTTCATATTGATAATGCTTTGGACTTTATGCATTGTCAATTTATCTCATTCTAATGAATTATTCATCAACCTTTATGTCCCTATCTGCCTCAATTGAAGAATTTTTAGTGGGTCAGGTTATACCGAGCTATACAAATCAGTACCGAGCTAATACCGAGCAGGTTGAATGATCGGTACTAGGAAGTAATAAGTAGTTTTTGCTCGGTACAAATGTACTAGGAGTTTATACCAGCTTATATTGACCAGGTTGAATGATCGGTACTACGAAGTAATATCTTGTATTTGCTCGGTATAAGTTGTATTTGCTCGGTACTACTTCATAAGTATTTTGTGTAAATAGTTCATACCGAGCAACATTGTCTGGTACCGATCAGTACCGAGTCATGTCAAACTGTACCGAGTGACATGAAGCAGCAAATTTTTTTTTTTTTAAAATCAAACATTATAGATAAGGAATTACTTGTATTAAATCAGAAAACGCTTCATCAACATTCAACGTCGGAGTTTCCTCGAAATCTTCAAAGTCTTCCAAAGCCAAAACTACATTCGTACCTTTCATCTCCTCGAACACTTCACGGTTTCTTTTCCTGCAGTATATGAACCCTAAAGACTGTATAACATCTTAGGTTTAATACCCAAAAGCTTATTATACCTGTGGTAAAAGCCGTGTATTTTTTTACTTTTCGCGCCCAATTCATATACAACGAGACGGGCACGCCCGAAATATTTTTAAAAACGTGCAAAAGAATATGGGTTGCCATTGGGTCATTCCGGGTTATCGGACTACTACGTGGCGCCGCATTAGCGCATACCGAACGTAGAGCAGCGTCAGGTAACCTGACCCACTAAAAATTCCTCCTTGAGAGCTTGGAATTTCAAGGCGGATACAGTCAGTTGGATAGTAATTTAATTCTTTTCAATTGACATTACAAGTAATCCTATAGAAACATCTTCCAAATTATAAAGAGCCGTTAAACAACAATGTTTTGTTCATATTTAAACCATATACAAACTAGTTCTATTTCATGCATTTCAAACAACTAATTAAAATCAGATACATAAGTTCTTTAATACCTTTTTTTCACACTTCTTCTCCTGTGCAAAAAATTTTCTTTGTCACTTATTTTATTTAGAGGCGCCTTTTCTTGAAGCATGAAAATTTTATATTGAGTTGAGTCACAAAAGCTCAGTGAATAATTATAGTTTTATAATATAATAATTTCAAAAATCAAAATAAAGTATATGCACATCATCATATATAATCATTGACATTTCATTTAAAAGAAATTTAAGCAAGCATATTTATCATTAATTGAAGTAAAATAAAGAGTTATTTTGTAAAACATGACATTTTATAAGAAAATTATCACAACATATCTTTTTAATATAACATACATCATAGGAGCATCGTCTGCAATTTGTACCGAGTAATGCACAATCATTTTCATTTATATTTTATTTTCAAACCTTTTCCATTTCATGCATGCGGTATACTGCTTCTCTAGTTAGTATCATAGTAAGGTGAACTCCTTAATTCATCATGCATCTACATTTCTTTTTTTTTCTTTCATTCATCATATATATGAATGTACTTTTAAAATTGATAAACTCATGTGATTGAAATAAATTGCATTTTATCTAACATCTTTTATTGTATAAAGATATTTATGCGTGGAAATAAAGCATTCTTTTCATCCAATGACATCATTAACAGTATTCATTGGCAGATGAAAGAACGTGTCATTCATCGTGTTATACTTGAAATAAGAATTGTAAATTGCCAAAAGTAAAAATATAATTGCTTACCTCAGCTTTGAAGATTTTGCTATGCTCTGTTAATCTTTAAGCTCCACTTTATTTCAGTGCGTAGAATCAAAAACAATTTCTTATAAAATGTCTATGTAATTTAACTATACTTATTTGTTATTCCTTAAATTTGATCTCATTATTTAATGATGTTTTTCTTCTCTTCAAATATATAAATTTTATTTACCTCATCTCTTTCTTTATTTAAATAATTATTTACAATCTCTTGATTATTGCTTTAACCTAACATTATACGCAATATATATTTTCTTAATTTTTATTTATTCCCACAACATAATATTTTAGTTAAAAATTACAATTATATATCATCATAGTTAAATCACAAAATCTCTTCGTCATGTAAACTGCCAACTTACAACCCTAGTATTTCTATGCTAATTTTATAATATAAAGACAATTTAAATTCCATTTTTTTTTCTTTATAAAATTCAACTCTTAAAATCTTGAGAACAACATATATCATGGAATAAAATCTTAACTTTCCAATTTTCTCAATAATTTTTTTTAAAAATCTTCTTATTTAATCAGACTTCACATATTCTTCTTCTTTTGCATAATCACCACCTCTTGAATTACACTTTTCCCACTTTCCAAAAATCTGACACAATTTTTTGTGATTAGAACATCAATCTAGGGCTTACAAAAATGAAACAATAAAATTTTTAAAGTAACTTTCTGATTTCATATGTAAAGAAAGGCAAAATGAATACATTCTCAAAATCTTAAGTTAATTATGTAAAATCAACGAATCTCCTTTCTCTCGCTTGTTCATTCTACAATCTCTATCTCTATACCTCTGGCTTTCACCCTTTCTTTGGATTACCCGTTGCTCTTCGCACATGCTTGTACCCTTACTCAATCTCTGTATGAGATGGAATTGAATCATTAGTCCCTTTGATCCGATGCAGTCGATTCAACATTTTTTCCCTGGCTTTTATAATCTCTTCTTATAAAATAATCATCTTCAAAATTAAATATACCTTAATTAAATAGATATGGATATCATTCATGTATTTTTGATTCATTAAAAAAAAATGTATTTTTGATTCATTCTCCTATATAACATCTCTTTGTCCTATGTTTTCATAGAATTTGAACAAATGGAACGCCTCGATTGTGGATTCACTTTGCATCATAGCTCAATATCTTCTCAAGTTCTTCTATATATTATTGAACCCAGTGACAACTCATACTAGCTTCATTAGCTATGTATTTTCAAAGTGTAATAGAAATATGAAAGATATTATGTATTCTCTACATTTGTGCTAGTAATACACTCTGTAAGCTACACTTTTAATCATTTCTATAATTTCATACTCTCCCACATATTGCAAAGTTATCTTTCCAATAATTATACACCTTGCATTAGATTGACTTTGATAAATATAAACTCATCAATATTAAATTTAACTAACTCATTTTTAGCATTATAATATTTCTATCGTCCTTCCTGTACGGCCTTCAAAGTGTCCCCTATCAGTCAAATCTTGTTAGCAACATCATCCTTGAAATCAACATCCCTTATTTTTTTATCATGTTTTTGCTCAACATAATGGTGTCCATCATATTCTTCCATAAAGAGCTTCATAGGAAACCATTTCTATTCTTAAGTAAAAGCCATTGTTGTAATCAAATTCTATTAGGGACATATGTGATTTTTAGCTTCCACCAAATCAAGGGCATACAATCTGAATAAATCTTCTAAAGTTTTAATTATCTTTTTGATTAGTCATTAGTTTTAAGCATGCAATGCAGTACTGAAAGTCGATCTGGTTCTCAAAACTTCCTGAATCATCTTTTATTATCTGGATGTAAATTTGTTATCTCTATCTGATGTTATTTGTTTTGGTAGTGTATGCAATTGCATAATCTCATTTACATACAATTTTGCTAAATTCTATACCGAATCAGTTTTTCTGATAGGCAAGAAATATGTTGAATTACCAGTTTATCTTTAATGACTAATATAGTGTCATGGTCTTGCCTAGATCTGGCTAACTCAATTACAAATCCATTGTTATATCATCTCATTTCCATTCTGATATTGACAAATGTTCAGCGTTAACTAATTGACATGTAGGACACTTAGCCAATTCTCAACATTTTTTTTTAGTCTTGGCCACCAAAATATTCCGTTGAGCTTTTGATATATTTTATCACTTTGTGGATGAACTGTAAAGCCAAAAAAATATGCTTCCTGGATAATTTCTTTCCTTAATTAGTAGCATTTTGAATATATATTCTGCCTTTGTCTCTTAATGACTCACCCGTCTATTTCATAATCTTCGAAATAGCCTTCTTTCACTAAACTTAAAATTTTATGGAAGTAGTTAGCACCTTGAACTAGTGAATCATATATTCTTTCTTTCAAAGTGGATTGAATTGTCAATTTGTTCAATAGAATATACTTTTCATCTTTAGAGTTTACCACTAACAATTTTAATGTCTCCATGTCTTTAATTAATTGCTCTTGTAGAATAAGCAATCAATTTGCAGTGCTTGAAGCTTTTATTCTTCTTGCTTTAGCAACCACATTTGCTTTTTTAAGATGATACTATATGCCCAGATTATAATCTTTGATAAGGTCTTGCTATTGCTTCTGTCTTGAATTGAGTTCATTTTGAGTGAAAAGTCCTTCATACTTTCGTGATAAGTAAAAATTTTACACTTGATTCCATGTAAGTAATGTTTTCATCTATGCTGCACAGATACGGACACAGTGACATGGATATGACACCACACGGACACGCGACACATTAATTATTGAAAATATAGGACACGGACACGGGTTGGACACATTATTATAATTTTAATATTTTAAAAATAGTGTATAAAAATTAAATAAGTATAATTTTAAAAATAATTTAGAAAAAAATTAAGTCATTTAACTATAATTTATGCTTAAAATGATTAATATTAGGATGTCGAGAGTCGGACGTCGATGTTGTTTATCAGTCATCGAGAGAGAAGATGAAAATACCTTCACTGCCAAAGAGAAATGAAAATTAGAATATTCGATGAAAGGGGTATTAAGTGCGGGTGATTGATTTGATGTTGTGGATATGAAATAAGGAATTTAATTTTCATATTTTAAATAAGTAAAAATTATAAATACAAGAAATTATATTTTAAAAAATTTCATAAAATATTTAAGATACGTGTCGGACATGCGTTTTCAATTTTTTTTAATATTTTTTTAATCGGACACATTTTCGATGTTTCCGACATGTGTCAGAGGAGTGTAGGACGCGTGTCGTGTCGGATACGGTGTCGGACATTGCACGCCTCTTTCAGGAGAAGTGTCGGTGCATCATAAGTTTTCATATTTTGATTGCAAATATGATTGTTGATAATTCTTGATCATGCACAGGGTGGTTTCCTTTATGGTTATTCAATTATTTTGAAGCAGATGCCATCACTTTATTATGTTGCATCAATATCAATCCCTCATTGATGAGTTATTGTATATCTAGAATTCTTTGTGTGAGAAAATGATTAACATTAGAATAGTCATTAGACAAGTTTTTGGTCTAATTATCCCGTTCAAAATTTTTTGCCTTTTAAGCTATCCTTACTAAATACATAGCGATTGGAAGAATTCCTCAACAAACCTTGTATAGTATACTTCGTGGCTCAAAAAATTCCTTACTTTTATAATTGTAAATGGCCTTAGCCAATCTACAATAGCTTTAATTTTGTTATGATCTATTAAAATACCATCTCCGTTGATTACATACCCAAGAAAAGCCACTCTTTTTAAGTGTTTGTAAAACTACATGTAGATCATTTATGTGGCTGGTTTCAATTAGTGAGTAGACTAGGATGTCATCTACAAATATGATTACAAATATATCCATAACTTATTTGAAAATTCTGTTTATTAAATTCATAAATACTGCCGGAATATTTGTCACTCCAAAAGACATCATCACAAACTCATAATGTCTATATCTTATTTTAAATGCAATTTTGGCCGTCTTTGTCTTTGCATAATTGGTAGTAACCAAATCGTAAATCAATCTTGGAGAAAATTGAAGTTCTCTCATGCTGATAAAAAATATTATTAATCTTTGGCAATAAATACTTATTTTTAATAGTGAGCTTATTTAGTTATCAATAATCAATGCATATTCTGAGCTTTCATCTTCTTTTTTTATAAACAATATTGTAGTTTCGCATGATGATGTGCTAGGCTTGATAATTCATTTCTATAATAATTCCTGTAATTGGCTTTTCAACTTCTATAACTCTTTAATTATCATCTAATGTGGTGCTCTAGCCACAGGCTTTGAACTTGGTAATAACTTAATAGTAAAGTCTATTTCCTTAGTTGAATGATACACAAGAAGTAAATTTTCCCTTAATAAGAAGTATTATCCTGTAAAAAGATATCATGGATACTTAAAAATAATTTTTTTAAAATTAGATCGGCTATTTTTATTCATGAACATGAGGTAAGTCTCTAAGATAGCAAAAGAATGCCTTTCTTGTTCGAAGTCACATTTCGTTCTTCTACGAATGCTTGACTTATTCTTAATTATCAGTATTTTCCTTCATAAAAAATATTTTATTTATCATTTTTAGAAGTTACTATTTATTTAGATCCCAATATATGTTTTGATCGAGGGAAGTGAGTTCTATTAGAACTTAAACTTTAGCTGCATATGGCTTATTGTATATCTTATTTTTGAAGATTTTATGCCTGAGAAAACTTTCAAGTGTGGCTCATAAGCGAACTATATGACAATTTTCAGTCTTTAGTTGAGTAGAGTCAAGTATCTACGGTGAAACCCATAATATTTAACAATTTCACGATCTTCTTTTGATATTTTTAGAATTAAAGGTTCTAAAAGAAATATTTGATGATTAGAGTTTTAGGAAGGGGTGGATACAGAATTGCAGATGCTAAAACTAGTATAACATCTAGGTCTGTGATCAACATTCCGAATATAGTACACTTTATTTTTTTGGATTGATGAGTTTAGTGGACTTCATAGGAGGCTTTCATAAAAACTTGGTGACTCATTCATGACAAAACTAGTCGATCCACATAATTTCTCATTTAATAGCTGTTCATGTATTGGGTGATGGTGTTTGTACAAATAAATATAAGTGCGGAATTCTCTTCTTTGCTTTTATGTTTACCCTATTAATTTTATTTAAATTTTTTTAGGTGGTCCAACTAATTTTATGCATGAAAAGACTAGAGTAGCTCCAATGGCAGATAAGATTAGAGAGATTCACCTTAGATGGTTTGGTCACATAGAACGTCGGCGTTCCGATGACCTGATTAGGAGAGTAGATGCATTAGATTTGGTCTATGTTAACAAAGGCACAAGTAGACCTTAAAAGACTTGATTAAACAATATTAGAAATGATATTTTTTATTATATTTAAATGAGAATTTGACTCTTAACAGGATATATTGGAGAAAAATAATTTATGTAGCCGATCCCATGTAGTGGGACAAAAGCTTGATGATGATGTTGTTGTTGTTGTAGGTGGTCCAACTAGTTCTTTTTCATTTAAAGCCCTGATCAGTGTTATTTCTTCTTATCTAGTCCCAGTATTTATGGTTGATTTACTCCAAAAATATAAGATTCTTTCAAATTGACGTTACATCATGTTTGGGATTGTGAAATAGAATGGGCAACTAATAAGAGAAATTATCTTTCCTAGGTTTCTAACTTTCGTTATATGTTTGATACGTCTCTATTTTACATATCATACATAAATTTACCTTGAATTTTTTTCTCATTTGGGTTTTGCAGCATTTTTCTTCAGTAAACCGATACTGTATAAAGAGCTGGTGGTTAGAGTGAACATGTCAATAAAGAAACCTACAATAGGCATATCCATGAGCTGCAAGTGTAGCTGGAGTTTATAGTGAGCTATTGCGGATTACGAATTGGTTCCCGGAGAAGGAATACAATTAAATTATCAAATGTCTTCTGAAAAGCGTTGGAATAAATAAATGACAGTTGTTTCTCATTTTATAAATTACAATCGCTTGTTCTATAGGTTTCCATAACACTTCTGGAAAACGGCAACTAGCTATGTTGTATGGAAGTTGCTTGTAGCTTTAATAAGCATAGAAGATAGGTGTGTGTAAAAGCAAAGACAGTACATCAGCATATGAAGTATGCTATACTTCATATATCTATTTGACTAAAGGATGGCAAATTAATATGAAATGGCAAGGATATTAGAATAAAGCCTGGTTAATTGGCCAAGTATATAACCGATCATAAATAGTGTTGGAACTAGGGAAGTTTAGATGTGTTTTGTTTAAAAAAATCTGTACAATCAAGGTTTTTTTTCTTGTCATTGCCTGCTTTTCTTTTTTTTCCATTCCTTGTAGTGTATCTGATGAGGTCATCGACAGACATTTTAGGCAGGTTTATCGGCGAAGGAATCGTAGATCGCCGGCTACGATCGGGAGTTTATATTTTTGATGTTGTCATGTCTTTTATGTTATTTTATTTTATTCGTCTTTTATTTCATGCACTAGTGACGATTTCGCCCTTATGATGGCGTAGTGTTTGTTGTAGCCCAAGGGGCATGTGAGTCTTTTTTCTTTTCATGCTTTGAGACCTTTATAAAGGGGTCTCCTTTTATTGTATGAGGTTAATGCTTGATTAATAAAATTCT